TTGTAGAAGATAGAGGCAGTTTCATTGATGGATGGTAATTTGAGGTCGTAATTTAATGACTCATTTGAGACAAACCAGGGTGCACCAGTGATTACACGTTGACATATGTTTTGGAAAGCTTGAATAGTTCTTTTATTTGAATTCTTTGCAGAGCCCCAGATTACGATGCCATACGTCCAGACTGGTTTAAGAAGAGTTTTATATAGGATTATTTTATAGGTATAGTCAAGTTCGAACGAAGGAGTGGTCTTAAGAGGTGGAGTCTGGAATTAAGCTTTTTTCGCTTATTCTTTAGATGAGGAGACCAAGTTAACCGTCTGTAAAGTATAAGCCCAAGGTATTTAACTTCGGTCGAGTGAGGGATGTCAATGTTGTTCAGTGATACAGCTGGACAGCTATGAGGTTGAAGTGTAAAAGTGACAAATGAAGACTTAGATTCATTGATTTTTATCTTCCAATTGGTGAACCATTGTGAAAGATTATTTAGGTGAGTTTGATTTTGTTGAGATGCAATGGTATGGTCAGAAGAAACTGATAATAAAGCGGTATCATCAGCATTTGTTCCAACTATAGTATCTTCAGATGTAGGCAGGTCTGACGTGTATATGGTATATAAGAATGGGGCGATATCACTGCCTTGAGGGACACCAGCAGAGATAGGAAATTTATTAAAGTGTTGTAAGTTGTGGCGGACAGTAAATGAACGATTTTCTAGATATGATTTCAGCATTAGGTATAAAGGGGCAGGAATATTTTTTTTAGTTTAAAAAGAAGACCTTCGTGCCAGACGGTATCAAATGCTTTAGCAACGTCTAAAAAGACTCCAGCGCAGTATTTTTTGGTTTCGATTGCTGTTGAGATGGTGTCCACTACACGGTGAAGTTGATGGGTTGTGGCATGAAGAGAACGAAAACCAAACTGGAAGTTTGGAATACTGTTGTTCAATTGCGCAATGGTAGTGATGCGCTTGAGGATGACTTTTTCTAATATTTTTCCAAGAACTGGTAGAAGGCTTATAGGCCGGTACGAGGAGGGTTGTTCTGGGGGCTTACCAGGTTTGAGTACAGTGACAATGAATGATGATTTCCAAGTAGTTGGGAAGTAAGATAGGCGTAGGGCAGCATTATAAATATGTGATAGATGAACAATTATTTTCATAGGGAGATTTTTAACAACTTTGTTGGAAATAAGATCGTGGCCTAGTAACATATTTTTCATCAGAATGTCAACGAAAAAGGTTTCTAAGCAATAATATGGTCTCAGCCAATATGACAATAGTATTTGTATATTACAAAAAAATAATTAAAATCATTATTCTTGGTATAAATATATATCAGGTGTATCCTATGTCATTGACTAATATTGTACACTGGCTTTTTCACCGATTACGAATCGATTAAATGGGAATTCGAAAAAAACTAGAAAAGACGT